TACATAGCAGTTCTGCACGGGTGAATGCATTTAGACGGCAATCGGCATCGTTAGTGTATAGGCCCTACACATTCACGACACATCAATCGGTAACACAGATTAAAACATTTCATCGATAGTTCGTGCTTACCTATCTCAACTTCAAGTCAATAACGAATGTCGTCGTTGATCACTGGACACTTCTCTACGAAATAACGCGCGCGCTCGCGCTTTCGCGCCGTCAAGTTCGTCAGTACCATACTCATTGGTCGAAATGACTCGAAAAACCCGAAGATGGCGCCAGTGGACCATTCCGGCTAATTCCGGCCATGTGCCGCCCAACCGAACAATCCGTCCCAGAGCACCATCGCCCGCCTCACGTCAGCTGCATAGTTACGTCGTTTTGATGATTGTAAACAAATGGCGGACATTTACCCAGTTACCGCTGGTGCTAGTAGTAGCACGGTAGTAGAGCTATGGTATCCTGTTACCCTAGTTACGGTGTTAGCATACATAGGCATAGTAACCATAGACAAGATTACGTTGTTGTACATGTGATTTTTCATTTGCACGGGAATCATCAGCCGCGGCGTGAAGTTCGTACGTATCATGGTTCTGCTTACATGTGACTAGTCCGAGATTCCTCTGACCAATGCCCACACCGACGATTTTGGTGGTTTTGGTGTGGGTTAGAGGAATCACACCCACACCAAAACCACCAAAAATCGTCGGTGTGGGCATTGGTCAGAGGAATCTCGGACTAACACGTGACATGATGTGTGACTAGGCCCCTCTCATCTTATATAGTTATAGCAAGAGTAGATAATAAAACCATATGGTTTTATTATCTACTCTTGGTTATAGTTATAGTAATACTAATACAGTACTGGAAACTTGGGTTACGGAAATTCGCTTGTACAGAATATGTATTAGTACTACAGCCGCCCGTAGCCAATTCAATTCAATTCAAATTCAAAGTAGGGCCTGAGTACTATACTATCAGGAGTAAGATAATATAGGTTATAGATTATCTTACTCCTGATACTATTAGTATTAGTAATAGTATTACTATTAGTATTAGTACTATTACTATTAGTATTACATAACCTAGTAAGTAGTATGCCTTAATTCGAAAATTATTAAAAAGATTAGTAACCATGTATACATAATGTAAATTATAACCTCATAACTTCATAAAGATTAGTCTTCGATCAATTTCAAAGTCCAATAGACTATATCAAATTTCTACCAAAACCAAGTCTCCTGGAATGTTGTCGTTGAGAGCTTTCTCCTTATGGACATTTTTCTGGAACACATTACTTTCATAATGCGGAATTTTACTCTAGCGTTTTTTAAATCACTAAGGTTTTGGTCACTATCATTAAGGTTTTGCTCACTCTTTGGCACTTTGACCTAAGGCTAAGCCTTTAACCCTATTAATGTATCTATGATGATGGTACAGCAAAAGGCCTGCCACATGAGTAGTTAATTTGGTATTGTATTCGCATTAGTTTTTCACTCGGTTATATGTTTTTGATTTGCATGCAGCTCCATTGTCATCTGCCCAACGCAAACTGTGCAAGGACTCTGCTTGGTCAGTCGAGGAAGATGATGAAGTTATCTTTGGGCGAGTCGAGGTTGGTCACTTTGCAAGTGACTAAGCTCATGCAGCTAATAAGAAAAAACCAGCATGACAAGGTGTGTCCACGACAATTTCATAGATTGTACTACAAATAAAGAAGATATGTACAGAATAAAAACAAATTTACATATTCAGCTTCAGTAATTTCTTAGCCATTTCTTGTGACCATAGAAGCATTGCCTATAAGAATTTCAAGAGTCAAGCAGGCAGGTGAAGTCACGGATTAGTCATGAAGGCAAACTAGTCATGAAAGTAATCAGTTAATTTGACACACTATGTGTACACATTTGTATATCATGATTTAGGAGTAGCTATAAAAAGTATGAGGTCAAAGAAACTGCATGTATACTATAACCATATCTGAGGGGTTCTAGAGTCTCAGGACCCCCCTGATTTGTGACTACATACTAGATTGTGATTGTGGCATTACGTAGCAAAGATTTGTCTTACTTTAAATGGAATAAACTACTTCAAGCTTGAAAATATATATATAGGCAGAATCCATCAGATTGCTTTTTTAGCTCAGATGCAGCTTGTAAAATTGCATGAATGTCCGTCCGTCCGTGCGTCCGTCTGTGTGTCAACAGTTACGGCACAAATCTTAACTGCGATGTACGATCTTGATAGTCGGGGCGTTTGGGGGGGGGGTCGCGAAAAGGACTCGGTAT